GTTCGTTAGACTACCTAAGGTCTGGCGAGTGCAGAGGACGACGTATTGTGTCTAACTGTAACTCCTGTAGAGTCAATTTTTCGGGAACTGTAAGTGAGCTCGTCAGTGAAGATCGTTTCATGAACAATCTCGAACTGTTTTACTGCTAGAAGTTTGGTACAGTAAACATCTGTCTTTTATTGTTTACCTGAGACAGCAATACAAAAACACCATAAATAGATAAATAGATCGCCAAACAGTAACCATTAAGCTCTGCTATATGGCAATATTGCGGCGTTTGACATGGGGTCAGCCACTGTATTTTAGCCGAAAGCGAAAAATACAGTGGCTCACACCAACAAAGAATCCACTTTTCGTCACTATCACAATTCAACCCAATATTCGGTAATATCGATTTAAGTAGATGTTGTTCAACGGATTGTTAAGTTTAACTAGAAATATAATATACTGAACCCATACTGAAAATCTAAGTTTTCTAACTCAACATGCATGTCTATCTTGATAAAGTAACAAACACCTATAACCAAGTAACTTACACTTTGAATGTATGTATAGATTATTTGAAAAAAAAATCACTTTTTTTTTTTTACAGTCTCTTACTCCCGTGGTATATTTATGTAATTAGGTTTTTTTTTCTCTTTAGTCTATACACATAACCTAAAGAAGAAGAAAAAATAACACAGTATCAACAATATAAGTCGCAGTATTCATGTAACGAATTCAAGTTTAGTGTCGGTCGGGGAAAGAAGAAGCGAAAGCTTTCGTTAGATGCATCGGACCTAGGACAAACCTCAGCGAACGACGACGATCGGTCGTATCCAGTGGGATGTCAACTCGCAAACTCTACTAAATCCACGTCACGTCAAAAGTCACGTATCACGCTTACGAACAGCGCGAAGTGCCAAAATCAACCCCACTCTATAACGACCATGCTCCATTTCATATAAAGTAAATTGAAAAGTTTCGAGTTTAATTCCGTCTCCTCAGCCACCGTCAGTTCGCGCTCGCGGCAAGCAGCGTGGCGGAAGCGAATCTCGATGTTTTGTAATGGAGCTTTTTAAAATGGAAGTCGAACTTTTGTCAGACACTTTTAGCCGCGCCGGAGATACATTTAAGCTTTTTAACTTTTCCACTCCGGTAATGTATCCCACACTTTCCTTCTATAGTGTAGGTGGCGTATAAGTTTTTTATCCGTGCAGATGAAGTAGGCAACTTTTTTGTGACTCAGCACGTCCCCGGCCGTTTGCAATAATCCTACCAAAGAGCTTCTCTATCCGACTTGCAACTGGTTCTTTTTTTCTTATTCGACGACAGTGTAAGCATTTTGCATACGATCCATTAAGTAAATGCACTCGAGTTACCACTCGGCACTACATTAATATTGCATTCTCCCCTCTCTCTAGAACCCTCGTGATTCTGACCGCCTATGGACACTGCATTTGAGAAACAAACTAATGGCTGATAAGATAGTAAAGTGACTATGAGTAATGTTCATATTAAAGTACTTACTATGTTCTGTTATTTATGCAAAAAAATATTCAAAAGTGATAAAAAAGAGAATGACGAGACAAGGTAGAAAATTTAGCAGATTAACGATTGTCGTAATTGATAAAACTCCTAAATTTCGCCTATCTTTTTTTCTCCGATCTACTCTTAGAATTCGTTCATCTTTCAAAATCAATAAGTGTTTGTAGCTAATGTAAGCGCTTAACGAGCCGCGAGCGGGACTCCTGAGCGGATCAGCAAATGGAGTGCTTCATGCATAATGTAGGTCAGGCTGAGTGTTGTTTTGAAAACGTTCTGAATTTGTTATTTTCGTCACACCAGGTAATGCTCAAGCAATGCATGAAACATTTAAGGGTGTATCATTCTGATAAGAGATTTCCTCGATTGATATAACCATAAATAAACAACATCAAGCGCTATAGAAACGCAAATATTAATAATCCCTTTGATATTCAAATTATTAATAAGTATGTAGGTACGCCTCTGTCTCCAGCACACGGGAAGAAATTTCTAAATCCTTACATAACTTTATTAAATGATAACAGGAGATAACTGGCACCTCAGAATTAATTAATCCACTCAGAGATTGCATCTAAAAGCCCCGCTGCCCCCGCGCACCCTCTCCCGCTGGGTCGATCCGTTTCCAGCCACTTAAACTTCACGCGGCGCGCTCTAGCTTCCGTTTTAATTACAAAATTAATTCAAAATGTAATTAAAGTTAACAATAAGGCAGCAAACAATTGATGTTATTTATGTTAGTTTATGCTTTATGGCGAGCACTGCTCGGAAATGCGATTTACTTGGAAATTGCGGAATATCACACTTTCGCTTTCATGATTTGTTAAATTACAATAAATTAAACGATACATTAATATAGTCTAAGGGGGTCATTTTATATACTTGGTTTGGCGATTTATTTAGTTTATATATTTTTTCTATTTTTATGTATAAATAAAATTAGTCCACTGAAATAATGAAAGAATATATCATTACAACTGTTAGCAACATTGAGGTGATGTTAACAAAAATTATCTACAAGAGAACAAGAAATGTAGCAGTAAATGAGTATAGGCTAGGCTGCGAAGTGGCGTACTCATCCACTCAACCTCGCTATACAGGCAATAAAGCTCAGTTGAAAAACACTTAACGGGATTGATTCAGAACATTTACCATTCTTTAAACAAACACAACCTTTCCATTACAGCAAATTATAAAACCTTTTAACATGTCGCAATCGAGTAATACGTTGTTGTATCTAAGATGAAAAATTAATTGTCATACGAATAAATATTTCTTCATCATCATTCATCATCAACCTACTTACCTATTAATGAACTTCACTACAGGGCCTTCCCTATGGATGGTCTCGAAAAGGGAGAACGGAACATAACCACGCAGGTCCAATGCGGGTTGTTGGGTGTTAACGACTGCAGTTATACCTAAGCAAGGAGGAGATAGTAGATAGTAAAATATTCCTCTGTTATTATTACCACATCCCAAATATTAATTGCTCGCTGTTTTCTCGCAACTTCTGCCGCGTATATTATAGCCTATATGTCAACCGCGTACAAGGAGCTTCCCGTGAATAAATGAAGATTTTTTTAAAAATCGGTTCAGTAGTTTCGGAATGCAAACAAACAATCAAATGTTTCCTATTTATAATATCATTCATTCACATTTCGCCAAAAAAAAATATCCTATTAATGATATATTATGAATATGAAAATTTATATTTGTTTGGATGTTTGTCCGTCAATTGCACCGGAACTACTAAACGGATTTTAATGAAATAAAAGGTATACAGATAGGCTATTATATATAGATAGGGTAGCTGAATAAGGTAATAGGATACATTTTATCCCACTAAACATTTCCCTAGGCACCAAGAGGCCGCTGGCGAAAGCTAGTACATAATATAGAATTTAGAAAATATCAGTACTTGAATAAAGCCTAGTTCGCATTAAGCTAGTATTTTAGTCTAGTAGCGAGTAGTTTAGTAGCAAAAATACTCACTACTGCCCAAAAATCGTTCGCACATTCTTCGAGTATAGTGCACAAGTGAGTTATGCTGCAAGATGAACAGCTTAAACGCAATAAAGTAAATAAACTGATTAAGCTCATTATAACGGCTATTTTAGAAGAGGTGGATGAGGAAATTTCTTTTCACCAAATCCGGATATATTCATTTTATTTTCTAAATCCAATTATGCGGATTGTTTATTTTTATAATGCGGGGACTTAATATTCCACAAGCATTCACTTTCCAAATATTTGGAAACGAATTTTAAAGTTGTTTCTTCGCTCCAGCGAAACGACATTTTTAGGCAACTAATGAACTCGACTAATTTGACAGGTTCGGACTCGTTTAGTCAGTGATTCGGTAAGCGCGGACATGTGGTGGGAGGTACTACTCGCCCGAAAAAATAGAATAAAATAGATCGACTCGACTAAATTACATACTAAGCTACTAGACTAAATTTTTGTTGTTCAGACACGTTTTGCTACTAAACTACTCGCTACTAGACTAAAATACTAGCTTAATGCGAACTAGGCTTAAGTGACTGTAGGATGTATAGTTTTTTCTAATGCCAATAGATGACCTCGCGGATAAAATTTGTCAAATATTTTTTTTATTTGAATTTTGTTCATCTGATTTTTTTCAAGTGACAGGTTCTTGCAAACTTTGAAATTCGATTAAAAATACAGTTGTTCAGTTTAGTTAGGATATTTTTGTTGATATTTGTTCCTAAATAATTGGACTAACGTATGAAAGGTAAGTTTTATGTTTATTTGAATATTTTTTTTGTGTAACAGCCATCTTGTTTTATTGATACACATATGTGTACCTCAGGGCTAAAGATTATTTTTGTGTAATATATGACCATTTTTCAGTTTGAATATGGATGACCAGGCGATTAAAGATTTCTTGAATAACAGCGACTTTGACTTCTCTGGCGATGACGACGATTAAGATTACTTGCCGCCAGATGTCTTAAGAGCTCTTCAATAGTCTGGAGAGGCGGAAAATAGTGGAGAAAGTGAAGATGAAGAGACTCGTAAAGTAGCGAGACAAGATTGCGAAAATACTAAAGAACTAAATCAAAGTACATCACGGTCATTGTGGCGGAAGAATGTCTCCTCGTAGGTCTGATATTGCAGACGACGTGCTAATTTCGCAGGGGAGTGCATTCATGAATGTCTTGTACTGTTTTTTGATTCTATTTATATATATATCTACCTTCTGTTCTAGTCACCTTCTATATATTCAATAATATATGAAGGTGTACTAGACCTCTTCTATATATTTCTTTGTTTCTATATTTGTTTTTATGAGTCGGTTTCTAACCCAGTTAGTCTCCGACTCATATTAATTCGTATTTGTTTTGTTTCCGAGTTTATGTATTCGTGTCATCATGACATTCGTACATAAATTCCTTTGTGTGTATTGTTTTGTGTTTTGGTTGTGTTTTATGTTGATGTTGTATATTGTGTGTTTATAATGTTCTTTGTGTCGTTTGTTTTGTCTGTCTAATGTGGTGTTTTTCCTATTCTTTTCCTGTCTAGCTGTACGCCGTAGTGGCTCTAGCCAGAAAGTCCCATTTTTCCCTAACTGGACAATTCTTACTGAAGGCATTATGGGAGGTGTCCTGCTGCCCCGAGTGCGAGCAGTTGCAGCACCTTGGGGGTTTTTCGTCCTTCTCCGGACATTCCGTTCGAAGATGGGGTCCCCCGCAGTGACTGCACTTGTCCGCACTCGCGGCGCAAAATTCCCTCCCGTGCCCAAACTCCAGACACTTTGTGCATTGGATCACCGGTGACTGGTCCTCTACCCTGACTCTCTGCAGGTCCACGTGTAGGTATCCATCCCCGGTCATCCTCTGCTACAGTGCCGGTCTAACCTGCAGCGCTACATGAGTGGTGGTTTTGTTCTTAGTACTCTTTTTAAATTTGATTTTTATTATGGTTTCTTCCTCCGGTAATCCCATAAAGATATTTTCGTTCTGTTCCCTAATTGCTGATATAAGTTCGTCGTCTTCAATATCGTTAAACACGTCCTTTAAGATTACCAGAGGGTCTTTATTTTTTATTCTTTCGACTTTTAGTCCCTTGTCCTTTTTTAATTTGTCTTCTATTTTTCTAATTTGTTCTACTGTTTCGCATCCTATTATTATTCTCTGGTCTTTGCATTTTCTAATTCGGTCTATTTTCATTCCTTCTTTTTTCGCATTTATCTTTTCTTTTGCTCTATTAAGGACTTGCTCACTCGTATCTGTGGGATTGTCTGATGTCACTATTACTGAATGGAGAGTTTTTGGGACTCTAGTTTTGCGTTCCTTTAGCACCTCGGCATATGTAGATTTTGTGCCGGTATGTTCTGTTGTTCTCTCTTCCTTTCCTCTTTCTGTATCTACTATTTTTTCAGTAATAGTGTTTATTTCACATAATTATTTAAGTCCTTACACGTATGTCAGCTATTATTTCCTCTCGTGCATGGCTAATTCTATCATTCAGGAAATCCATTGCTTTTTCTGTTGCTTTTATAATATCTTCCGTGTTTATGTTACTTTTATCATCTGGTCCTTTTCTTTGTATGTTTCCTATATCATTCATCCTTTCTGTAATCGTTCTTCCTATCATAATCTCACTGTCATCCATCTTTTCTCCCATCCTTCTTCCCACATCTATTATCTCTGCTGTCAAATTATCCTCTATGTTTTCTAATTTTTTAATTATTTTACTTGAGTCTTCTACTATGTTCCATGAATCGCTTTTTAATTTTTGATTTGATATATAAAGCTCGTTTTTTTTCATTCTAATCCTCTCTCTTTCCTCCCATTCTTTCATCATTCTTTCTATTATAGTTTTAGTATTGTCCTGTTTGTTTTTTAGATCTTTTTCCAGCACGCCAAGTCTTTCCATTATTTCTCCCTCTTTTTTCAATTCTTCATTATCTCTTATCAACCTGCCGAACCGAATTTCCTGCTGTTCCACATACGTTCTGATTTCCTCGGCAGTTATTTCCATTCCTTTCAATTTTTCTTTAGTCTTCTTCAAATTTAAAATCAATTTGTCTTTTGACTCTTTTCTGAGAGTCGTTTGCGTTTCTAAGACTTCCAATGCCTTCGTGACTCTGTTTGCTACAGCTGTAATTTCGCCCCAGAATCTCTCCATGTCGGGACCCCATTCCTGTGGTCCTTCTTTCTTTCCGGCATTGGTTGCCATTGCTCGTGATGAACGGCCATTGCCAACGACTCGGAACGAACGTTCTCTCAAGAAGTCATTGATCCAGATGATCAGGCCAAGGGATAAGCCGTACGATGGAAGCTTGTTTATAAGGCTAGCATGCCAAACCCTATCAAAGGCCTTCGAGACGTCGAGGGAAACAGCAATCGCTTCCTCGTTTTTCTCGATGGCCTTGCCCCATATGTGAGTGGTATATGCTAGAAGATATATGTAGACCGGTTTCGGCGAAACCCGTACTGTCGGTCGCTGAGTATATCATTTTGTTCTAGGTATACCATTAGGCGTCTGTTCAATATACGCTCCATAATCTTGCAGAGTATGGAGGTAATCGAGTTTGGACTATAGTTGGACGGATCATCACGGCTTCCTTTTTTGGGCACAGGCTGCACATTGGCAAGCTTCCACGATTTGGACACTATCCCACTCCGAAATGAGAGGCATAACAAGCGTGTCAATACAGGAGACAACTCGGGCGCGCAGCGCTTTAGTACAACCGCTGATATACCATCAGGCCCACTAGTTTTGGTAACGTCTAGGCCTCGCATAGTTTTTAGGACCTCCTTATTAGTAATGCGGACCTCAGGCATAGAGGTACCGCAATGAGGTATCTGTGGCGGAGTGTTAGTGCTAGAGTCTAGACGCGAGTTTTCGGCAAAGAGAGATGCGAATAGGTCCGCTTTCTCAATTGCCGCGTGGGCCAGGGAGCCATCCGGTCTTACCAGCGGAGGCAGCGTAGGCTTACAGAAGTTAGCTTCGACCGCTTTGGCGAGTGACCAAAATTCTCTACTGCCCGAAGGTTGGGCCGAGAGTTTTGCGCCGATATGTTTTATGCGGTCGTTTCTAGCTTTCTGTAATGCCTTCTTGTAGGACTTGGCGGCTAGGTTAAAGGCTATGTTCTTGGATTTTGTATCAGGAGATTTGCGGTGTCGAGCATCAACCCAGGCGAGATACGCCGAATGCTTAAGCTGTTCTGCTCGAACGCATTCGGTGTTAAACCATAGGCGAGTTATGCCACTGTCGGGCACGTCACAGAAAGGTATGAAATACTCCATGCCTTGACGCACCACATCGGCTATAGCGTCCGCGCAGCTCGACGGATCTCCAGAATAAAATCAAACCCCACGCCAAGGATAAGATGCAAAAAACTGTCGCATCTCATCCCAGTCTGCTGACCTGTAACGCCATAATCGCCTTACACCTCCTGAGTCCTGATTTGGAGGGGAATAGAACGAAACAGATTTCACAAGACAGTGATCTGAGGTACCTAATGGGAAAGAAACCTCAACTGTGTACCTGTCTGGAACGGGTGTCAGTAGAAGGTCCAGGCAATTGGCTGTGTGACCATCGACATCAGGCACCCTAATGGCTTGCTTCACCAGCTGGCCAGGCCAAGAGATATAGCAAAATTCCAGGCCTTTCTACCAGCATAGTCGGTTTTCTGGTATTGGAACAGCCAATCTTGATGAGAGGCGTTGAAGTCCCCCAAAAAGACTAGCTGCGCATCAGGGTGCCGATGTGACACTTCATCAGCAGCCACGCTGAGCTGTTCAAACAACCGAGTCATCTCCTGGTCACCGCTGTGCGATCGGTAGACACAAGAGTACAGAATTTTGTCCGTACCTGTGTCCACCAATACCCAGATAGTGGAGAGAGTGCGGTCTTCAAATTGTCGGAGACGCCGACAGCAGATATTGTTTCGGGCATACACACAGACTCCGGCGCGAGGGTGAAAATTGTGCTCCAATGTGTATCCAGGGTAATTTTGGTATGCCGAACTTGATGGACATCCGATCTGCGTTTCCGTCAAAAAGAGCAAGTGCGGCTTTTCAATCTCTAAGTGGTGGTGGACTGAGGCAAGGTTTGAATGCAGACCTCGAATATTTGTGAGGTGCACTTTTAGCGAGGGGAAGTGCAGCCGCTGTTCATTCTTTCAAACATTGTTTTTGTTGCTCTTTTTTTTTCATATTTAGTGAATCGGTTGGATGGAGGACAGTAGTTGAACGAGGCACTGTGTCATTAACCAAGGGACAGTGTCAGCGCTGCCGTGCCTATGGGGGCCTAGTCTGGACACCGCGGGGACGCCCCCCCCCCCCCCCCCAGAGATCGCCATCAGGTCCCCTCTTCCGGTCGCCAACCGGCATGATGGAGCCACTCTGGGATTTTTGCAGATTCCACGAAAGGCTAGTGGCTAACCGACTACTTGGGCCCCCAACTATCTACGATCGGCCAGCGGTGCACCGTGCTTTCGATCCCGCTGCCCTCCACGACTAAGCTCCCGACACTGCAACATACTAACCCGTCACAACCGGTCCATCAACGCAGCGCAACTGTTCAGACCCATCCTCCATTCGGCTTCATCAGACATCATACCGGAACACGACGGATCGTTTGGCGGTATGGCTTTATCTGATGACAGATAAAGCCATACCGCCAAACCAGGAGACACGTGTAGGGAATCCATTGTTCAATGAAATCAATCACATTCTTAGAAGGGATGTATAAATGTAATAAAATGTAATAAAGTATCGATACGTATCAATATCGATATTTTGAATATAAGAATATCGATGTCGAAATTTTTATTTAAAAATATCGATATATCGGTGCGATATGAAAAAGGTCTAATCTACTTCAGTCATCTTAGGTTCTGAAGAACTTGGCGTATTGTCATTCACTTCACTAGACTTGCGTTTTTATTTTTAAGTTAGAGAAACGCACGGTGATGCTTATTTTTAAGATGCGCAGCTAAATTCATCGTATTGCCACTGGTTTTATACCATTTCCCACACATATTACATGAAACGTTTTGTCTATTTTTTGAAAAAGTTCCATATAACACTTCACATGACTGGAATGCTCAAATTAATTATTGATTGAATTAATAACATATGAGGATAACGGAAGGACAATTGACTGATTTTGTTGGTTAATTTTCTTGTTCAAATGAAACAAAAGAAAATATCGTATTTGTTGCAATTTCGATATTGGATATTTGATATCGATATATCGTTACAAAATTATCACCAAATAATATCGATATATTGAATTGAAAACATCGACATATCGATATTTATTTGACAAACCCAGTGATTCATAGTGAGGGAAGCATGCGCATTACGTGCCTATGGTATATTTTTTGTTTTGTTTGATACGATGCGATTATAGATACATAATACCGGTTTCAGAAACTATATAGGGCTTGCAATCTAACTAGACTGGAAATTAAGAAAAAACGAGAACATTCTAATTAGTATAAGTATAACATAATCGTATATAATTAACTTCGTGCATGAAAATGCCAAACACACGGAAGAAGGTTATAAAAGTTGTATACAAAGCTGAAGACGATAGCGATATAGGTGAAGCTTTTAGTGATTCCGGTTCTGAAGCTCAAATATCTGAGGAATCAAGCTCAGAGGACGGATGTGAAGAACAGGAAGTATCTTCAGGTGAAGAATTCAAAAATATAAAAAAATCAATCGCTACCAAAACAGTGCGTAAATTAAAATTTGCGAAATCGTTTATTAACAAAATAAATAAACAAACATCTGCTGATAGCGAAAATGAAAATGTGGATTCCGAGCCGCCCCTTTTTTCGGTCAAGGATCTTACCGAAGAAGATAAACTTTTGCCTTCCATACTAAATCTTTCAGAAAGTGGTAAGCAGTCAACAAAAGTAATGTTCCTTATATATATTATATTGTAGGCATCATGACTTATCTTATCATAGGAATATTTTAATTTTCAAGATACTAGTGATGATGAATGCCAAAAACCAGCACTTAAGCAAAATGTGAATACTTCCACGTTGCCACAAAATCAAAACTCTGATAGTGATGATGACAACAAGATTGAGTATCAAGATGTAAGTTATTTTTCTATATAATAACTACAATTTTATGATTTTTTTAATAGAAATCTGTTTTTTGTGCTTTGATGTTGGTAGTAAATGAAATGGTTGACTAAGCTTGATAAGTATATTTATAGAATAAACAAAAATAAAAAGTTTGAATGTATTACTAAAATTATGATAGTAATAAGTACTTCAAATAAAATTATTACATATACTGTTTTAATACAGATTCATAAATTCACTTTATGTGTTTATTATATAGAAAATTCAATTTAAACACATAATTTTAAATATTTTATGAATTGCAATAATGACATGACACATACGGCCAGTTGCACAATCGTCCATTAAGGTTAAAGATGCCTTTAAGCTCTGATTAATATCAAATTGGCATGGTCATTGTAGCTTTAAAGTAATGACAATTTTAATGGATGTTTCTGTTAGAAGAATTTTCACAAACTGACATTCAGAAAGAGCATATAGTATTCCTCGAAATTTCAAAATACTAAAAGAAAATAATAAAAAAATGAATAATCTTAAAGATCAAAGACAAATAGATTGGATTATGTATTTGCATTATGTTATAAACACAATACGGTAGTGAAAAATAACAACAATAATTCAAATTTCCATTATATTAAATATAGAGAATTTGAGTCTTAAATTGCATGATTTTCTTATGATCTTAAAATTAAAACTAAGATTTTTTGTCTGTGTGTCATGTGACTTGTAAAACGACCCTCCATTGTGTGATGCCACAGTGGCGACAGCTGTCAGATAAGTCAGAAAGATATGCCTATTAATTTTATTATATGTGTTTGTGCAACTGTGGTAGGCTATAATTTTAGTGAGCGAAGGTGCAGGAAAACTGTTAGTCTGACTATAAATAAAATTTACATAAGATTAAAATATGTTATTGATTATCTTTATGAACCTGCGCAGGCTTCTTGGGCTTTAATGGACCACCAATTAGAACTACTGCTTTAAATTTAACAAAAATTGACACAATTTATTAATATAAAATGTTTGAGAAGGAAATTATTTATCTAGTTTCCTATTAATTTGTCTCATTTGTGTTCCAGGTATGGTCTAAAAACTTACAAGATAATAGTGAAGAAATTGCAAAAAAGGCATTTCTGGAACTTGAACATCATAAATCTTTAATGGAAGAAACCAAAGCATCTCTTGATAAATACAAACACAAAGATGAAAAAGGAATTGAGTTTGAGGTTAATGACCTACTTGCTCAAGGAGAAGAAATAACGCCAATTCCAAAAACAACTCCAATAAAAAAGCCAACTAGGTCTCAAAAAGTTAAAGATGCAAGTGACTCAGAAACAGAAGATTGGGAGGAAGTCAAAGGTGTGTCATATTTGTATTTTAATAAAAGGTGCCTAGTTCTAGTAAGCCTATTTTAATTTTTTTTACCAACTTTAGAAAGTAATATAAGTATATTAAAATGAGGGTCTTACGGTCAGAAACAACCATTAAGGTTTAATGACGCCTTTAAACTCTAATGAATGTCAAATTTGTATGAGTAATGTAGCTTTAAACTAATGACAATTTTAATGGGCGTTTGTGCAACTAGCTGTCAATCCAACTGAACGTTTTTTTTAACATAAATATTAAAATATTTTGATTTATTTATGTTGGTTTTTTATTATAAAAACTGTATGTGAAATTTCTTTTCAGAATCAAAAACTATACCGAAACAGGGTTTGCAACTCATTGTAGAATTACCTAATACAATCTGTAAGAAAACAAAAAAAATTGATGTAGAAATGATGATGAAAAGAAAAATGAACCGAGTTAAAAAAGAATATCAAGTCTTTATGCATAAAGTACATGTCCTATGTTGGTTAGGACATGGTAATTTTGTAAGTAAGATACTAAATGACCAAGAACTTTTGGCAGCTTCATTATCTTTGGTTCCTTCTAAAGAATGCTATCCATCTGAGAGAGTAGATATGAAATACCTTGAGCAAATAACTACATGGTACAAGGACAAATTTACACTAAAACAAGATAAAAATGAACATAAATATAAACCAAAAGCCCCACCACTCAAAGAATTACTAATTACACAAATAAAAAGTCGAGTAGTCACCACAAAGAAGTATTTAGTATATATATTTGTTTGTATGTTACGAGCTCTTGGTTTGCAATGCAGAGTAATGTTTAATTTTGTTACATTACCTCTAAAGCCTCCAAGTTCAGAATTATGTTCTCTATCAACCAAACCCAAAAATGATAAAAATAATGTTGAAGAAAAAGCAACCACAAAACAGGCAAGCAAGATACCATCAAATATTAAGAAAAAAAACTCTAAGAAACCACAATCAAAAGAAAAGATACATCAAATTGATGGAGCTGATGATGATTGTTATGTAAGTTGTGACAGTTATGAAAATATTGTCCAATTAGATGGTAATAATGATCGACCATTGTTGGAAACTAGGAACACTAGATCAAGAAAACCAAAAGCTACATCTTCCAGCGCAATGGTAACTGAAGATGATGTTTCACCGCCAAAAAGATCTCGAAAAAATAAAAGTCCAAATGTCAAAGCAAAAGATATTGCAAATACCAGTAATACAATGCAGAATATTGATGATAAGAACAATGATGCAAGTACATGCATTTCTAAAGTAAAAAGAGTACAAAAATCCCCAGCCAAATCAGTTATTAAGAATGATGCAGTGACCGATGATACAATTAAAAAAAATAACTCAACTAAATATATTGCTAGTCCCCATAAGACAAGAAATACAAAAAGTAATCTTTCACTCTCGAATGACAAAGATACAGTTGAAAAGAACCTGACAAGAAAATCCAAAACAAAGCCTCCTCTAATAATACTTACAAGTGAAAATGACAATATGTCTAGTAAATACTTTGATATAAAGGAGGAAGAAAACAAAATTAATCTTAGGCTATCAAGGAAAAGATCAAAAACAGCTACTACTGATAATTCACTATTAGCTATAGAAAAAAAGGAAATGGATTGCAAACCAGTTAAAACCAGAACGAAAAGTGTGCCAGGGACTAATGATGAGAAAAGCAAATATTTTGAGACTTCACCAAGCCAAGTTAAGAAACCAAAACTTTCCATGTCAAAAGTAAAACCTCTTAAAGATAAAGATGATCAAAAGAGAGTAAGTCACAGAGATCTTACAAAGCCGAAAATAAATAAAAATGATGTAAAGGAGGATCTTGTTACTTTAATCAAAGGAAGAATTAAGGAAGCCAAAGAAGATTCTAAAAAAGGCATTGTAAAAGGTATAATTGTAGAAGATTTTTATATTTAATTTACTGTTTATTGTTCAAGTTTTGTTGTATCAAATGTCCATGTATGTCTTAGGTAAAGTAAAAATTAATTCTGAAGAAGACAGTGATTATCTACCAGAAGAAGATTCTAAATCTAAAGCAGCTAATAGTGATGATGATTTCAAACCCACCAAAGTGACACCAAAACCTAGTACAAGTAAAAAGATAGATCGTCGAGTATTGTCATCATCTGAAGAAGATCTCCCTAAAAATAAAATAGATGTATGGTGTGAAGTTTTTGTTGAAGAACTTGAACAGTGGATATGTGTAGATGTGGTTAAAGCAAAAGTTCATTGCGCAGAAAGTATTTATGTAAGTTAACTTGTGCATAAACACTTTTCATTAACACTTAAAACTGTTGAGTTTAAAATTTTTAAGTAAATTACATAGACCTAAAGATCACAAGAAGTATAAACATTTTCATGTATCTAATGTAAAAAAATTACAGTCGGGTGCAACTCATCCTGTGTGCTATGTCGTCGGTTGGGACAATAACAATTACCTTAAAGATTTGACGCGTCGTTATGTGCCTCATTGGAACACAATCACTAGAAAACAACGAGCTGAACCCAAGTGGTGGAATGAAGCTATACAGCCTTGGCTAGGCCCGAAAACTGCATGTGACAAAGAAGAAGATGAGCAGCTTGATAGGATGCAGTTAGAAGCTCCTTTGCCAAAAAGTATTGCTGAGTAAGTAAAGGTTATTTAAACTATAAAAATAAAAATGAATTTCCATTCGTTAGTCTCGCTAAAACTCGAGAACGGCTGAACTGATTTGACAAATTTTAGTCTTGAAATATTCGTGAAAGTCCTGGGAAGGTTTAAACGATGAGAAAATGTGACAAAATTGCGAGTATAAGACTAAAAACGACAATTTGATTTTCCCATACATACTGTTCTTAGCTGTCAAACGTTCGGTTGACGATCAATATTTATGGTCGTGTATTGGTCAGTTTACGCAATATTTTTCAATATTAATATGGTTTTTATTAAGAAGTAAGTGATACGAAGTTCACCGGGTCAGCTAGTATTTCTATATAAATTGGTAGTGGCAGTCCTTTGAGGCATTCTATCCAAGGAACCATAAAGAAACTATTATTTATCTATCCTTGTTCCTGCTCGATTTGCAGAACATATATTGCTAAATTTTCCATGTAAATGAATAATAATAAAAAAGGAAGTTAATATTGTATTTGTTACCACAAATACAATATGGCTGTATGCTAGGTTACTTCAATATATCATATTTTAGTAGTCTCTTTATATATTTTTTTGCATGTGTTTTACTTCAATACATAGATGTTACATAGGAAATGTATAATTCGCAATGTTTTTTCCAAAAAATACAGGTATTACGAATTGAGCATTGATATCAGTTAGTTCGAAAATTTTTATGACCACAATATAAATTCGATTCGTGGTCGATAATTTCTTTACCAATTGCACTGAAGATGCCTGAGTCAACAGAAACCAAGTTATACAAAACTTAAATTCTCCAATTGATTTTAAACTTAAATTTGATGATAAAAGAAATCGTAATCAATTGCAGAAATCGAAATTTTGTGGCGACTCGTAGTTGTGCTCTGTGTTTTTATTTCTATTGCTCAAAAAAATGTAACCACACATTCAAAATTCCTAATATATGTAGATACAAGAACCATCCCTTGTACGCATTGAAACGTCACTTGTTGAAGTATGAAGCGTTATATCCACCTGACGCGGCCGTACTAGGATTCGTACGCCAGGAGCCAGTTTATGCACGCGAGTGTGTTTACGTTTGCCGATCAAGAGAAACTTGGTTAAAGGAAGCTAAAGTAGTACGTCTCGGTGAACAACCTTATAAAGTCGTCAAAGCAAGACCGAAATGGGATAAGGTGAGACTACAATATTGTTTAAAAAGTATATTCTATATATGTATTAATATATGGGTATGTAAAATTTGAAGAGATATCAGACATACATAACCTTTTACAGTTGCGTAATATTTGTATTTAGGGATAGGGAATATTGCTAATTTTTATTTGTTTGTCGGTCCGGTAGAATATTGAAGAATATTAAACACGTATTTACTTCATAATCCATAAATTACGGTAATACATTAAGTTAAATGAAATGTCGTATGACGTCACATCTTTGTTTGTAAATTATCTGTATAATTGTGACGTAGCGAGTCCTCGCATTTCTCAACTTCAATGCTTATTATCAAAGCCGTTTTTTGATGAATGAAAGTAAAAAAATCTGTATCTAACATTGTTCTATTATCTGACTGACTGACTATAAAGGATTTTTTTTTTATTTGCCCAGTCACCATCCTTATTAGATTAGATCACACGTTATCTATAGTATGTTCACAAAAGATAGCAACATTAAAAATAGCTTCTCTTATATTGAAACTATTTCTTATACAACTTTTGTTAAACTTCAAAATAACAATCTCTACACTTTGAATCTTATGATAGTATCCAAGAATGTCTGTTTGATTAATGTCTATAAATGGCTTATTAACTATCATAGTCTCCGACGAATATAATTATAATTGTAAACTATTTTTTGTGTGATTAATAAATTTATTATAATTACAGCTATCCAACAAACTTATAACAGACAAACCACTTGAAATATTTGGACCGTGGCAAGTGCAGGATTATGAACCGCCAACGGCAGAAAATGGCATCGTACCTCGCAATGCGTATGGGAATGTAGAACTCTTTAAAGACTGCATGCTTCCTAAAGGAACAGTTCATATTAAATGTAAGTTTTTTATTTCACTCAACAGTCTAAAACTTAATGTTACTATAAACAAATTCAAATGTTTTTGTTAAATGATTTCTTCTGAATTCCTCCAACTTTTCTTTATCTAATAATGTAGATTCCACATCATGATGTGATCTTATATGTATATTGTAGTTGATTTTTTTCTATAGGAATAAAAGACAAAACATCTTATTGTAATAAATACTTTTCATTATTATTTAATAACTCTTCGCCATCGACTTCTCTGTATATTGATGAAAACCGCATTATAATCTGTTGTGTAGTTTAAAAGATTACAGTGTACAGAAAGAATGTCAATAGTTAGTATTTATTTTTTTAATTGCAGTGCCTGGTCTAAATAAAGTAGCAAAGAAACTGAACATAGATTGTGCACCAGCGATGACTGGTTTCGATTTCAACGGGGGCTGGTCTCATCCTGTGTTCGACGGATTTGTTGTTTGCGCCGAATATAAAGACACAATCACAGATGCATGGGTTCAGGTAACTTATAAAATTCTATACATTACTAAGACTCACCAACCATTCCAACAATTACTAAAACTCAATCAACGTGCCTTATATTCAACCGATATATTTACGCACGAGGTTGTTTGGCCTATCAGAATTATTCAAGTTATGCACGTTAGGTAACGCGCTTAATTGCTTTTTAGTACGACTGAGATAGTATCCTAGTGTTGTATTTTACATCTTATGTTTATTGAATTAAGACTGATTTGATTGCTTGGTCAGCATCAAATTCGAATAGTCTAGTCTACGCACTCGCACTCAAATTCATTGACGTGCCTTATTTTTTAATATATACAACTTATACGACTTATCCAAGCATCTAAAACGTTTTAAAAACATAAAAATAAGGTTATTAATGCAATGTAGTCTTCAATACGATCAATACAATGTTTTGTAAAAACATATTTAGTTGTATCTGTTTATCTTAATTCTATAGGATCAAGAAGAGCAAGAACGCAAGGAACGTGAAAAGATAGATGCCAGGGTGTATGGAAATTGGCGGCGATTAATAAAAGGTCTATTGATACGGGAACGGCTCAAAGATAAATATGGTTTCGAGGAACCAAGCAAGAACAAGAAAAATCCTAAAGGACCTCGCCTGGTTGTGAAAAAGAAATAAAGATCAAACACATTTCGAAAAGTAATAATAAATATTCTATAAAAGAAAATTAGTTACGTACGTGTAAAATACGTTAACATTGGAATAAAAAAATATGAAAAAAATAAATAAAAAATACATCAGTGTTTCTTGGATTACAATTATTCCAGTATATTATACTACATATTACATTATTTCGTTTTAAGCTATTAAGCTCCGTAGCCATACTAAAGTACTGAGCTCAAGTGGCTACCAATTTGTCTTCCCCGGAATGAATTTTGGGCTGGTGTAATTTGCTGGTGAAAAAAATTCACCTCTAGGGACGCTTCACGTTCCTTCACGATCGTCGAGAATATTTCTTTAAAATATGATTCAAATATTTCAGAAAAATAAAATGTTTTATGACCTTAAAATAAAAAGAAATATATTTTGATTATATGGATATAATTTTGATGTTGATTATGTCCATAACGTCATTGTGATATTTACACAAAACAGATGCATAGAGTAGCAGATTAAAAGATATCAATAACACCAGAACAATGCCATCTAACGATCGATTACAAAATAAAAAGATATAAATCAGTTAAATTAATAGGCATATTTTAATGCTTATCTGACAGTTGACGCCACACTGACGTCTCATGACGGCGGGTCGTGTTTCAAGTCACGTGACACACACAAATCACGACTTTTAATTTTAAGATATTATTGTAATCATGCGATTTTAAGACTCAAAATCAGAATCTCTATTTATTACAAAATCGTGACTTATTTTTCACTACTGAAACTATCGATAAATATTACGCATCAGTCAGTACCGTTAACAAATAAACACTGGTTGAAGAATACGCTTATTGAGTTTGGGTTGTATTAAGATCACACATAATTTTTGTTGTTTTTATTGGTTTCGATTATTATTGTTACTTGTCATGGTTGACTAAAATAGCAACTGCTATTATGATTTCCACAATAAGCAAACATAATTTCACTAATAATAAATATATCTAATAGATCTTGTTTCATTATTATTTTTTAGTTATTTTTTCAAATATGTCCTTTCTGTTTGTTATATCGTTATTACAAAGCAAATGTTATGTTAACATTTTTTATTTTTATTTTATATATATACCTCAATATCTACATATAAATTTATTCTTTTCCAAAAATATTTTTCGGTATAGCATTGTGAATGCAAAATTAATCACAAATAATTAACTAAAAGTTATTAAATTATTATGACAATATTTTAGAGATTATTTATAAATATATCAATTTTTAATAAATAATTTATCTCTTGCCTTGTGTGCTAGCTGTACTTTCTATTTTCATATGAGGTCACGTGGGTGTTATCAGACAAGGTTCCAGAGCATTAGCAATTCTATATATAATATTAAGTAGACAGCAGCACGACAGATAATCATTTTATTATGGTAAATTCAAAATCAAGTATTTTGAATCTACCATAATGCATTAAGGTTTCTTAACATCAACTAGAGCTTAACAATTTAACAGGGTGCAAGGGTAAAAATGGATTTTTTAAGCATTCTTTCATTAAGAATAATTGAATGCTAAAATAATTCTATCGACTTTTAGTTTGTTAATTTACTGCATTTTTTTTTTGGAAATAAATCAATTTATATGTAAATTTGGAAAATAACATTTTCTTTGTAATAACGCGATAAAAAAACGGAAAGGACATTGTTGTTTTGTATTTTTGTAATCATTTTTGTTTTTTTTTTTTTGTTTTTTGATAAGGTAAAATTAAGAATTTTAGTTGTATAAAAATTAATCTACCTCATCTTTATTACCGTATCTTTAAAATGTCATTGCATGCTATATTTGCTTGTATAATTTTAATGTTAATTACGATTGACAACGTTTTTGTTGCATTACATTATAATAATATAAAAAAATAAGAACTTGTAATTTATATATATTTTTTAGAATTACACTAAACACACTTTGATAATGTTATTTCATTACATCTAGTGACATGTAATTTAGTTTAAAACTAATTAATACCTCGAATTTCATACTTAACAATAATTTGTAATACTATGTAAGAAAGCGAACAGATCTATGTAATGCCTAATTTTGTAAATATAAGTTTTTTGAACTTTGCCATTAAATATCCTCGCAAAGAAGAAATAACGCATTTTCCATGTTTATAAATTTAAACCTAATGCGTTTGATTTATTCTTTCATATACTAATATTAACAACATTTGAAACCAAAAAGTGTTAATGGTTGTCCATTGAATTAAAATCGTCTATTGGTAATATTTTTGCATGCTAAAAAATATATTTTATCCAGTATTTCAAAAAATAAATTTCACTTTAAACATTATGGGATATGTTTCAGAGGTAGCAATTCTGTTGCACAAACTAATCCAAAGAATCATGTTCATTTTGACCTTAAATTTACTAACGCGTCTAGTGATGTGATATATCTCAAAATGTAACAATTTTTACTTGTTATATGAGGGAATTAAATCTTAAAATAAAGTCAGGACAAAAATTGCTAGTTTGATAATTATTATTAAATAGTATTGCTGCAGTACCTAAATGCAATTCAGACCCAATGAGGGTTTGCTACGTTACGTTTTATCTAACAGGAAAAAATATTCTTTCGTCATGAGGTTAAAAAGTGCATATTTTCAATTTATTTAGATTTATTAATTTAAATAAAAAAAAAACTTTGATTTTAATGCATTAATTTTTAAAAACATTATTTACAAATTACGAATCGCCCTGGCTATATTTTATTTTAAGCATAAACTAATTTAAATTATCACTAATAGTGGGACAGTTCAATCAATGTATGGAAAGTGGATATGATTCTTTGGTTCCAATTCAGTCAAATTACGTTTTCTATAAATAACTAAAATTAACTCGCTTTAATTTAGTACCCGGGAGTATAATTATACATTTTTAATACATGTGAATGCAGAATACTTTAATACAAACTCAAATTAGGTAGACTTTTTTAGTTTAGGAAGTGGTACAAAAGGATTGGCACCTATATCAAAAGTATCTAGTCTTGTATGTTTTTAAATAAAAATTTGTTTGCAATTTTTTAAATTCCTTTAAAAAGGGCCCGCAAATATGAAATTGTAATAATGTGTACGCTTTTAATGATAATTGTATTATAATACTTAATTGTGTTAAAGATAATATAGTTGTTTTGTTAATTTTTTTATTAACTTTAATTTCCGTTTCCTTGTGTTATTTTGTGCTTAAACTAAAATAAAAAACCAAGTAATTAAATAAAAATGTATTTAATACAAATGATAACTTAAAAATGTTGTCAATTAATTTTATATGCAATAAGCTGTCTTAATGTGTATATAATATAAAATTGATTTAAAGTGCATGTTACATAGCAAAAGCTCAAAAGCATATAATCGTTAGGAATTACTCGAGCACAGCTTATTGTGCCTAAGTGAATAGATATTACAAAATTATATACAGAATTCTTTGGTGTATAAAAATATGTATAGACACTTCAGATCTTTTAATGCAAGATCTGGTCGGTCGAAACGATTGCATTTATTTGCAACCTTATCCACAATTATACAGGATAGTTACTTTACCTCCAAACAAAACCCTATATTGGAGGGTTCATCACAATGCCATTGTTTTAATTTTCTTAAGTTGTTTCGATTTTTTTTTACTTTTTAATATTTTATTTCTTACATCTACATATACATTAAGTCTATCTTACGTACTTACTACAATATTTTATGACGAATCTATAAACTAAGGGCCCAGACACATTCATCCCAATTTGTACATATCATGAAAGGAATGTAACCTTTAATTTATATCTTCATAGCATAAAATATTTGCACACATAATCTTAACATCATCTATTTTATTAGTCTCATTGGATAAGTATCAACCACTATTAAATCCAGTTTAATAAATGGTATGATCGGTAGACCGGTAGCAGTATATTTATTAGATAAAATTCCTTTCAAGCTACCATTCACTCTATTTTATTTAGTTCCTATAAAGTCCAGCTCTATAGTAGTTAATTTAAGCCATGGTCAATGTGCCTGCGCCCATTCCAAATCCTACTCCCTTTGGTCCGAAGTTTCTACCGTAGCAACCTCGGCAGTAAATTTCACCGTTAGGACCATCATTCAAGTTAGTGGAATCCTGTAACAAATAAAAGAAGTTATACTAGATATAAGAGGAACTCGCTGGTCGGAGCGGCCGGCTCTACGACAACATCTGAGGGGTTGCCATAGTTCTATAATTGTTTCAGTTCTGTGAGCGAAAAAAAAAAGCACGCGAATGCTACAACAATATTTCAGTACTTCTGTTCTGTCTCGATATGGTTCTTGAGCAACTTCCGCAACGGGCCGTCATATAATGGGTAACCGAATAATGGTTTATCTCATGTCCGTGCTGCGGAACGCCCGTTAAGCCGTTGGTCCCAGCTGCATCGGCAGTCGATAATATCCACCTATCTGCAGTGGTGCTAGGTAGGTATTTTGAATGAACCAAGTGGTCTCAGCACGTGACTATATTTGATGAAAGGATTGAGTCGCAAGTGGAACGCCAGTAGAATTGCCAACTCTCGAAAAGACAAACTAGGGAGAATTGTATGTTTAAGTTTTTTTTTAATATATATTTATTCGAGCAGCATTTTATATTTGTCGGTTTTTTACAACTAAATTATAATGTGTAGCGCGCGATTTTGTGTCTGTAAAGCGAGTTAATAACGACGATCGAGCGACGGGTGCTTTTGGTTATCAGAAAAACTAGAGAAATTATTGCTCTCCGAGAGATCGAGAGGTTAAAAAATATTACCAGTCTCCCGGACAATCTGGATGGGTTGGGAACCCTAGCCGCCAGGTTAGGTTAGTTTAAAATTCCAAATCCTCCTTTTTTTATTTACTCTTCTTGACACTTAAATTCACGATTGATTATTGAAATTTGTCCTTTTGAAAAACGAACAGAATTTAATATTTTCTCATTTCAAAGAATAAAAATATTATCTCCTTATGTTATTTTAGATTAAAGAAATTAAAGCAATATTGAATCATGAAATAAAATTCAGTATGTAAGAAAAACTCTTTTTATTTAGACAATATAGACCTAGAATCCTTTACCTTGTTAAGACAAGACCAAAGAATTTTTAAAATTCATCGTTTTATAAATAATGGCCGATACGTGGGTTCTAAATAGTAAAAATATTCCGAGAATTATTTAGCGGAGGAACGCGAAAGTGTCACCTCTTTCCTATTCACTTCTCTGTTGTGTTTTCCAGTAACTTTCGAATGTTTTAAAACTTAAGCTTTAAATCGGTCAATACCAACGTTTTGTGAAAACAAGAAATATTTGAAAAGACTGCAAGAGACAGATTTCTTAGTCATAAAAGAAAAAGAGACCAATCGAGGCTGTATGTACCTAACATCCGTTGTCCAAACAAGAGGAACAAAAATAAATAAGCGTCACCTATCGTTATTTTACCGTCTTGATGTATAGGGTTTTTATATAAGATTTTACTACAAAATCACATAACTAAACACTGAAAATTAGCTTATTAAAAAAAACTAGTTTCTTAAAAAACACTGCATGTGAGCGCTATGGTTTTCATTGTCTGTTCAAAAAGAACTAAACGTTTAAATAGTAGGCTGTCATTGTCAATCAAATCAACATGTCAATGTCACACTAAGGCGTCTAGTTATTAGGAATCCACAAGGGCTACGCCGATAAATTAATATATTTTGTTTAGGTTAGTTCAAAATGTTTGCTCTTACGCTTTTCGCGTTACTAATTACTATTCAAGTTTTTACAATAAGAGCTGAGTTTTCATCAGAAGACTGTGCCTCTTTAGGTTTCATCAAAGCTAATTTGTTATGTTCGTCTTGTGATCAGCTCAAAGATTTTAGCCTAGATGAATTAGTTACACATTGCAAAGAATGCTGTCATAACGACAAAAGTGCTCCTAAGGAAAAGAAATATGCACGCGCTATCCTAGAAGTTTGTACATGCAAATTCCCTGCATATCCACAAATTCAAGCATTTGTGAAAAGTGATAGACCAGCTAAGTTTCCTAACCTTCAAATCAAGTATGTACGGGGCTTAGATCCAGTCATTAAACTCCTAGACAAAGATGGCATTGTTAAAGACACTGTGGCTATTGAAAAATGGAATACAGACTCTGTAGAGGAATTTTTAAATACTCATCTTGTAAAAGAAGAAGAGGATGATCGCCAGTATTTAAAAACAAACCAAATTTAGTAAATAAAATCAGTAATTATTCATTGACATATAGTTTTATTTTTTTTATTTTTATGCTTAGCCTTTTGTACTAGTTTATCATAAAACATCTGAATTATATTTAGTTGTACTATAATTTCTCCGTGATATAAAGTAAGTTTTGCAACTTACTGGTTTGTAGATAAAAAATTTGAGAAGTAATATGTAGTTTTGTATATTTACCAGTACCCAGCCAGACACCAAAACATTGTTAATTAAAATACAGAACATTCTATCTCCTACAAAATATATGATTAAATATTTTTATCTGTCTAATTATTTATTCTTCCAAGTCTCAGTAAATTTAGAAGTTGTTATAGAGAGTATTACTTAAATTATTGAACTAGGAATAAAACTTACAAGAGATCTGTGGCAGTCCGCACATGAGAAGCACCGTCTGTGCCATGTGCCATTCTTGGAGTGCATTTGTTCAGCAGCATATACAGGGAAACCACAACGAGGGCAACCTTTTCCTTTAGCAGCCTTCTGTCCAGTGAATGGTAATTGTTCAGTGCTGAAACATTTATTATTTATTGATTATTATTACTCAAACATGGTTGACACTAGTCTAGCATAACTATATGGTTTGACTGCTAGATTAATGAGTCTCAATGAACTATAAATTCTATTAGGTATACTTCTAATCATTACAGTGCAAAAAATAAAATCAAATTCCTTAATCTATTTTTGCTAATGTCCACCAGAAAATTATTTAGTATCATAGTTGTATATATCATGTGATTACTACATTTTGATATTAAGTAAGTAAGGTAGATGCTCTTTATTATTTTAATTTTTTTTTTTATTGTTGCACAACAAAGTGACTGTAATACACCTGGTGGGAAGTGATATTACAGTCTAAAAATAGTCGCAGCTGTCAGAAGTCGAAACTACTCCTGGTAGCCACCACTATCTTGCCGGCCTATTTAAGAGCCTTTTCACACCTCTTTTGAAGCACCCAAGGTTATATTTTTATTATATGTAATCGTTAAGTCTAACTTACTAAGTAACAACGGGTTCGGCATCAGTGGATACAAGGGTAGGTGTGTGGCCATATCCGAAGCCCTTGGGTCCGAAGAGCTTGCCATAGCAGGCGCGGCAATGGATCTCCTTGTCAGGTCCGTCACACGCTAGCATGGAATCCAAGGGCCGATGGCATTCCGCACAATTAAAGCACTTCTTATGCCACATCTGCAGAAATTAGAAGATATAATTAATATCAAACTGAATATTTACTCGGTTGCGTATGTGAATTTGATTCCGAGATGTTGCCACATCTGAAATATGTACTGGGTTCGATTCCTGGCTGAATAAATATGGAAAATGTTAAAAGAACTATTTTATTCATGAATTAACGGCACCCATCAAATATATGATAGATATTTCTAAAAAGTGGCTGCAGATTCTTTGCTCTAAAAGAGTCTTAAATTGAATTGAAAATAATGCTTTGCTTCGTTATAACCGAAAGATCGATACCTACAACTTAGGTCGTAATTAGTGAATATAATTTAAAATAAATAGACCTAAAATCATATTATATCTAAATAAACTTAAATATATTTGCTAAGACTTATTATACACAATCGAAAAAAACTCCACTTACAGTTCCCTTAGCCAATTGCTGCTCCGCTGCGAAAACCATACCACCACATCGGGGGCATCCCTGACCTTTGGGCGCCTTAATTGATGTGGTGTCAGGGTTGTAGAAGGGACGATTAGCCGAAATTTCATCCTCGCTACAAAAATAACAAAGTTAGGTAACCATAAGATATTTGTAACTTATTATTTAAATTCATAAATGAGACTTAAAGATTAAAATATATTAGAACTTACGTTAATCCGTCGGTTTGAAGGAAACCGGAACCACAAGCAAAGCCGTAACCGTGCGGTCCCCATTTCTTTCCATAGCAAGTTTTGCAGTAAACTTCGGAGTCTGGGCCATCGCAAGCGATAATAGAATCTAAAGTCTTAGTGCAATCGCGACATTTGAAGCATTTGCGATGCCATTCGCGGCCTTTCGCCAGAACTTGCTCAGCGGCGAAGACGACACCACCGCATCTTGGGCAACCTTTGCCAGGTGGAGCCTGGATAGCAGCAGTGTCAATCACCGTAGTTTTAGGGGCTTGATCACTAAAACAGTTAATATTAATATAGGTACCCGCCCGAAAAACCAATCATTGGTACTATCTGTAAATTTATGTACATGGAAGGCACGGTTATCCATTCTTTAATATGACCTATTGAATTCATCTACATTTGATTTATAAATGTATTTCTTGTTATTTGTATGAGTGATGAATTAAACAAACGAACTAATGATAAATGAGATATTACAACCGTAAAACTCTGTTATGATATAATAAATACTTAATACTTATGAGTTAATAACAAACCAATTCCAACCTTTCCTATTTACCTAACTAATATCTGGCAAAGGCTAATGTGTACTATGTAAAATATTAAGTAAGTATTAAATAGGTCTCGTGTGCTTAGAGTCTACCACAAATTACGTGTTGTAAACTCAAAACGCGCGTGGCTAGTCTCGCCGATATTAAAATTAGTTCATCCAACAGAGGAGAGCGCGTTCTATTTTCTCATTGGCATATTGCCATCTCTTGTTTGTATTATAAGCCGTTTTTATGAAAGTGGCTATGCGATGGAAATAACCTGAACCTGTATCTGTAACATGAGAACTTATACGTAACTAGGAACTATATGTATTCGAAACATTTTAGTAATGATTGTTATGGAACGGATAACTTAATAAAACATGAAAATTTGTTTGCTAAAGCATCTAGAAGCAAATATCGTGTTAGATAGTTAGTTATGAAGATGAGCAGTCCTATAGACTGCATCCTTTTTGGGGACTCATTGACACACCATTCATATACCTTTGCCATTCCATGTCCTTTACATCACACATAAGTCCCAGGGATGACATCCCCCCATGGCCAATACCCCTAGGACCAAATCTTTGAGCGTAGCATCCTACAGCAAAAGCAAATAAGCATTATTATTTTGTATATCTATAGAGCACACAGCGTTAATATAAGTACATATAATCATTTAAATGAATTAATTATATAGGTAATCAAAGATATCAATGAAGCTGTGCCCTCGCCAGATATATATTCTTTAATCCTTTTTCAGCATCTTACCCATTGGCGTAAGGGTCACTTTGCAGAACTCCAGCACCCTTTCCGTAACCGTAACCCTTGGGGCCAAACTTCTTCCCATAACATACTAAAGAACAAAACATAGAATTAGAAACTACTTTGTTCCAATGCATCAAACAATGTAATAATGTGCACTATCACGTTCATTAGTGATTTTTAATGTTTATTGTAAAGGGAGGACACGAACCTTTGCAGTAAATATCTTTGTCAGGGCCTTCGCAACAGTTTGTTGAATCCAGCCGCTTGTGGCAGTCACCGCACTTGAAACACTCCCTGTGCCACGCCTGGACATACAGGGAAACATTGAGGATCATACACATGCTAGGAAAGGTGTGACTGACCTAAAGGTGCAGGCTGTTAAAACCACTGTGATCGTGATGTTATTGCATAAAACATTTTGTCTGTGATTCAATTTTGGGGAACATTTAGGTACCTCGACAATAAATCTCGCTATCTGGTCCGTCACAATGTAAGGTAGAATCAAGAGTCCTGTTGCAATTTAAGCATTTGAAGCATCGCCTGTGATAACCCTAGGGTACAAGAAGGAAACTATTAACAAATGACTAAAACGAGACTCCGATCCATTATGTACCTGAACCTAAAAGTGACGAGACAGGAAGAACATTAACTGATGTGTTTTAATATTTTTTAAAGTTGATGTCTATATTTGGTAATCCTTATTGTGAAAAGCAAGGCGTTTCAAATGTGATGGATGGTTGAAATCGAATAACTCACCCTTCCACGAGCCAACATTTGCTCAGCGGCGTAAACATAGCCACCGCAACGCGGGCAGCCTTGACCGGGCGGAGCCTTAGCGATGACACGTGGCTCCAAGCATGCGCCATTGGTCCTTACGTCCCTGCATATACAATTTAAATAAGATATTGCACAATTAGTGGTCGGTTGAGCAACGTTGACAGAAGAGTAGTTAGAAGCCTTCAGGCGTTGGAGCATTCCGACCACTTCTATACTAACAACGGCGAAGCACTTGCTGCCGGCGGCGCACCCCCGCCGTAATGGGAGAAGGTAAGGGCTCCCGGCCGCCCGCTCCACACCGGCCTCGCTATTGCACTACAGGTATTGACACAGAGGGCGCTTTCCTTATCCCATCACATTTAACTAACTGTTACTGCTAAGACAAAAGCATTAAATTATGTTAGAAGAGTATAAGTAGCGAAGAAAGTTATGAAACACGAGGTATTTATAATCTGCGCATGCATCTAGGTGCGTTTGGAGCGTAAGCCGTGCTAAGGCTTGACAGATTGTATTCTCACCGTTGCTCCATAGTGTTCGGGTCGCCCCGGTCGGAAGGGAGGGAAGGTCTGAAGTTGAACGGAGCGTGATCGAGGTGACGCGTGCCCTAGGCGCACCAGCGGGCCCACATCGGACTCGACCACGCTCCGACTCGTTAACACAACTAACAACGGGATTGGTAGTCGACTCTTTTATTGGCTTTTGTATAAATTATAAATAATGTTCCGATAAACAAAATAAATTAAGCGGTAGCGAATAAATAATCCTAAGTATAATTAAAGTACAGTAATGGCGTGCGTTCGCGAGGCACCGCTGGTTGGCCGAGATGCGTGTCGGCAGCCCGCTAGCTCTGCTGGACGGCAGCTGCTCGCTCAATTCCTGTTGCGACATAAACGGAGACTGATCATGCACGTGTCAGGCGGCGCGTAATGTACAGCCGAGCGCGCGCTTTCTACTACAGTATGAGTTTTTATGTACACGCGGTTAATGTTTGTTACGTACGGGCCAAGAGGCCGGCCGGCTGTGCGACCTCAGATAAGGAAAGACCCTCAGTGGCGCGGGCGGCGGGAGAACTATGAGGGCTGTTACTTACGCATTTTCAGCCTTAAGGTGCTCGCCGGCATCCATGGATAGGCAACCAGCGCCACCGCCGAAGCCGTAGCCTTTGGGACCGAACTTGCGCGCGTGGCACACTTTGCAGTACAGTTCACCTTCGTGTTCTGAGCAGTTGGTAGAGTCCAGCAACTTCTGGCACAGTCCTGTATATAATAAAAAATATATCATAATTAACAATAATAAAGATACCTCAACCTCCAAATTATTTATTTTTTAATGTCGTTAGTAAAACGAAATCATAACAACAACTAAGTTTTACATATTTTATATATTACCTATTATACATAATTGGGAACGTTACTTATTAAGAAGCAATTCTTAGGTAGAAAATTTAGTTTTTACCGTGATCATGCTAAATTATCATAAATAACTGCTCATATATAACTTATTATTAGACTAATTTAATGTACAATAAGATTTTTTATCTTTTATTTATAAAATAAATTTATAATTTTAGGTAACCGCAATTTAAACTTTATTTGAGATTAAGTTCGCGTAAATTCCTTTAACTCCACCCAATACTAAATATTGCGTGTGTTTTGTCAGCCCTTTGAGATAATTTATTTTTATTAGTCTGACAATTAAATAACAACTATGTTTAAAAAATGAAATCAAAAAGTAAGATACATTCAAATTCCCATTAAGTACAAACTGCTATTAAGTCAAAGTATTTTTCATTGTATTTTAACTAATAACAAGATAAAATTTCCAGATGTATAAAGTTCAACATGTTCAATTAAGATGAATATCGAAAACCGACTTAAACCGAGTTACAGGTTTGAAAATGAACCTTTCGAAGTGAAAAACATAAATTTAAGATATGCATAATATACCCACCGCATTTGAAGCACATCTTGTGCCACTTGAGACCACCGGCTACTCTCTCCTCGGCTGCGTATACGGACTTTCCGCATTTCGGACATTTGGGGTTATCTGCTGGTTTGAAAGGCATTGTGCTCGCTTAACTTATCCTGTAAATAAAAACAATCACCGGTTGAAAGGTTATGTCCACTTTGTAATGTATCTCGGTATGATAATCTTGTTAAGGTTGCAGCGGCGAAGGCGACTTGTGAATTGGCACTGTGCTAACACATTTGACGATTCCAAACATTTAGGTGTATTAAAGAATATAGCAGCACTGATCTCCGTGGCATAGGTGACTATGATAAGTCAGTAACTGGTGTATATTCATCACTATATTGGGATCACATAATCTTGATCACCGCATCTGATGACGATTTGTTGTCAGAATTTGTTCTACTTAGTAATGTTACATTGGCCGAAATCCAAGTCGCCTGCACCACTTCAACTGCATCTGAACTGACACTTTATTGCTCAACAGTCACATGTACTACCGAACGATATGTAAGCAATACTGACTTCCTCCAAATGCGAGCGGTTGGTACAAACTATGCGGTGGTTATGAAAAGAAGGGCGGGCTGCGCGTGGGCGCTTCGCTTACGCGCCTAATTTGGGGCGTTCAGGTAAAGTTACACCGCTCCTGGAGCAATATTGCACCGCTAATAATAGTTCGCATTGGGAAGAAGCCGCAAAATCACTCCCGGTTGTGTGACGTTACGTTGTAACAACAGTGTCGTCACTTTCACAGGACACGGACCTGTTCGTCGATTCGCTACGAGAGTCGGGCTCCCGGACGCGTGTACAGTGCAGGGCTGAGTTGCCTAGACTGCGGTGCGCGGAGGTCGAATGATGCGCGAGGGCAGCGCGCCACCGTAGTCTATGTGCGGATTGCACACGGCCCCAGTAGGGGGGAGTGGTCGCGCCGCCGCCCTCGCGACCACCCCCAAACATTATGTCCCTACAAAACTTAAAGCTTCCTTACCATCATTTATATATCATGATTCCATGTAAGTTAGTGACTTCAGAATAAATTTTTAATTATATCTACATTAACGTTGTTATATATTTTTTGAACATTTTTTTCAGTTCAAGTGTGTACAACGCAAAGACATCAAATTTTAATTAAACAACGCTCAATATTATGTAATTGATTTCATTTTAAGTAAATATGTATTTATTAAATCAACGGAACATTAGGTTAAAGCAAAAGTTAATTAAAATTATTTAAATCAAAACTAATAAAAGTAAAGTAAAGAAAAGTGGGTACATAATTTATTACGCGTTTCTCGTTAGCATTCATTTCTAATTAAATGTATACATAGGTCCTTTTTAAGCTAGGTAATCCCAATTTTTTCTAATATTCTTAATTAATCGTAGAAATAGGAGAATGCTGTTAAGTTTATGGTAATTATATGCAAAACTTTTCACAACATTAAGCAAATAAAATAATTAATTTTGTATTAAAAATGTACTTAGGTGTTGTAGTACATTCTTTGTTTAGGGTTTCCATAGTAATAATATAGTTAAATAGCTTAAGCCACTTAATATGGGATTTGAACTATTTATGTGACGTCCTCTTCTAATATTTTTTTATGATTCTTATATATTTACATAAATTGGTACTAATTAAATTTGAAATTTGAACCCATCCCATTCAGTCACAGTCTGTATATATTTTTATCTTATAGGTATCTATATTTTTACCACAATACACAGATTATTTTTTATTTGAAAGCGTAATCCACATACACTTATAGTTCATAAAAACTTTAAATTTTTGAGATAAGATCAGGATAAACAAGTTAACTACAGATTCGTAGATTGTGAATTGTGAAAATTTAATGAAGTTATTTTTACGAAAATCTGTAAAATGACGAAAAAATATGTATTATAAGGTCAAGCTTGGTTGTTTAGCAACTTTCGTAAGGACTGGTTATAGGATGGATGAACAAAAATGTATCATCACTAGCTCCTTCGTGTTTTGGAAGACAGCCATTAGTCCTGGCTTCAGCAATCCGCATTGGGCAGGCATAGTCGGTCGTGGCCCATTCACGCTATTCGATTCCATCTAAAATAAAGGCCTGAGCCCCAACTAGGGGAGATTACTAGGTTAGTCATGATGTATTATAAACAAAGTACTGACAACGAAGTAGTAACCCACTGTTTTAGTGCTAAAACTAACTGGAAAATAATCAAATTATAGTTCTGTGATATGTCGATTAGTAGAAACATGGGACTGTGATTAAAACTTTACTCATAATTTAAACTTGTGTACTTTCCATGTTTTTTTTTAAAGCTCGAGTACTGACTTTCAAAAACAGCGGGCATTAGGAAGCACTACTTTACTAAGATGTTTCATTAGTAATACATATGAAACACCGATAAATAGCGATTTTTAATTACTGTATATAAAGTAAAAGACAGTACTTCTAATACTAATACCTATTCCTATTTTAAATTTGTACAAAATATTCCTATTGAAAATCAAAATAAAAAATAGAATCAGCATTAATTAGTAGGTACCTACCTGAAAAATACAAAAAACCAAAACGGCTTCATTTTAGTCTGTTCTCGCTGCCAAAACTGTATATAATTGACTCGTATTAGTCATAAAAACTACTTCTAAGAGTTTCTCAGTGGACATTGACGTCTTGTCTTTCTTCACTGATGACCCATTCCAAAAGACTCCGACGGTAAACAAAAATAAAACTACCATGTTGAATCATTATTTTGGCAAGTAAATTCTATCCCTAATTGTGATTCGGCACTGGCCAAGGGCCGTATGTATTTATGAACTAATCACGGGTATAAACAGATGTGATGGCCATAATTCAACTTCGTATCAACTATCACTCATATTTATGATGTCACCTTGTCATGTTTATTATATATTTATTTATTATTACACATCACTACAATAAATAAGTGCAAATGTGTTAACATTATATTCTTAACAACCGTGTGTATATTTTCATATAAAGACTGGCTGTTTTTACACGACTTCGCTTGCGTAAATTCTAACCTAATTCACCCGCGTGTGATGTTGCTGTCTGTAAATGAAGGAATTTTAAAAATCATTGCAGTAGTTCCGGAGCCTATTCAATGCAAATAAACAAATGATGAGTTCGATAGTGCAGTGATTAGCGCGCTCGGTCTCCGATGTGGTTGGTTGTTATCAAAGATTTATTATCTCGACCTGTTCCGTGCTTCGGAAGGCACGTTAACCCGTTTATCCCGACTGCATTTGAAGTCGTTACCACCTATCAATCCACACTGAAGCCGCGTGGTTATTCACGACCCATTCTCCCTGTTCGATTTGATTTGATTCCATCCATAGGGAAGGCCTGAGCCCCAGCAATGGGAACATTAATAAGCTGGTGACGAAGATGACGAAACAAACAAATCTTTCCTCTTTAAAATATTAGAATAAATATAAGATCAACCTTCGTACGTTCGTGTTAGAAAAATTAACGTAACTATATTTTTTATATGTTGTTAGCCTCAAAATTCATCAAAACAACAACAGTGAGACGCGACGTGTTCAGCTAGCGTGTAGTGACAAATATTCTAAAACACATCACGACTTTCTTTAAGATAAATATCGCGAGTTAATTTTAGTCATCATATCTAAAGAGAAATAAAAAGTGACTTCAGACTTTGTTGTGGAGATGCTCATCGAGCCAGAAATAACTAACAAAATAATAAACTTTATTACGTTTACAATTAGTCCAGTACCATGCTACACGAAGGCATACCCCAACTCTGCCAAGTTGTGCACACCTGACAATCTATTAATATTATTCACAAAAATAGCCGCGCTGAATTATGATTTATTATTTATTAATAAAGTAGGCTAGTTGCTAGGTCACACTGGTTTGAAAATATAAAGATTGAATAGAACAGTCCCTATTTCGAGGTAAGTTTTAATGAAAATCAAGCTTCCATTTAATATATTTCGTATCTTACTAATTTTACATTACACTACGCTTGTTAAATGGACTTTTGAGTACGGTTAACGCTGGAAAATAGTCATATTTTCCCTTTTGTTTATAACGGTTAATATAATCAAAGATTTTGTACTCGTATCTTACAATTAATTATCTTCTTTTATTCAGTTTCCTGTCTGTCAGTTAGATAGATATAAACATTGGCGTGTTGCGCGAAATATGAATTGCCAAATGTTTTTAAATTTGTATTTTACAGCTACCTACAATGTCATTGTTACATTTATAGTAGGTTGCTGTGGTCTGCTACTAACGACATGCGAATTTGGCTCTATAAAATCCGCATTTATCGTATAATTTTTTTAATATAAAGTTTTCCGCCACGGCTTCACCCCCGTTTTATAATTTTCTACCATAAATACTTTCACCTTCATCAGAAGTAGAATATCCACAAATGCTGAAACAGATACAAATTTTTTATCTGCTGATTGTGTCATGTTTCTTATTTCAAAAATGATGGACTTTCATTGAAAGTTTCGGACCTATTTCACCCTTTACATGAGTTGCATTTCCAAAACCCTTTAAATTTTACTTTGTTAGAAATTAAAAAAGCTTTTAAATTTATAAAATATTGTTTATTTTTCTAAATAATTATTTTTGAGGTTAGGTAAAATAATGGATGCATTCGTTAATCAAATAATTAAAAACAGTCGTATGTTGTATGTACATAAACATATGACAATATTAAATCATTGGATTCTAAAGGAAACATGCACATACCATATAAAGCACCGTTGACAATAAACCCTGACCTCATAAGTACCTTGGTACTGTGACCATATGTCCATTCTATAGACGCTTACTAAAACACGATAATCATCACCTATTAAGATATTACTGTCGTTTCACTTAAAATAGCTTAAAGTAAATTTCGTATGCTTTTATATCTTTAAACTTATAAAAGTTTTAAACCTTAAAAAAAACCTCGAACAATACATAGGGAAGACCAGCAGTGCTAGTTTTTTATAAATACAATCTCGATCACGATGTCGAGCACAGCTCTGTCACAGAATAGAAGTTCAATCAAATAAAACCTACTTTGAAAGGTAATAAGGTTTTAATTTATTGAAACTCTATGTCAGAGTGCTGTGCTTGACGTCTAGTTCGCGGCTGTTTTCAAACAGTCAGAACAGTGACAGCCATTAAAAGTCTGATGGTAATTCAGTATGACAACAGCCTTTGTGGACTAGATTATAAATATTAAACTACGAATTATGAGACTTATTTAGTCCATCTCGAAGTGTCACACTCTATAGAAAAAATACATTCAATACTATACTAAGAAATGCCGATGACGAAGTTAATATATTATCAGGCAATCACCAGTTAATCTCAAAAATAACGTATTAATATATCTCGTCCTTGGCACTTATTCAATGTAAACCTTCAATTCACATTTTGAAGGACAATGATACTTTAAAAAATATTTAACGTTCATGAATTTCTTTTTAAGTTTTGAAAGCTCATTTAATTTTAATTCAATCGTGTATATGTCAAAACCTCAATGGTCAAAACTGACATGAATGTCAGACTTTTATTTAAATACGTACATTAATTAGATACGCCATCCGTCTGTCAAATCCGTCAATGAATTGAACAACTGTGCGGTCTAAGCAGTTAATACTTCTTCTTCGTCCGAGCTGTTAGGTCTTGTTTCGTTTAGGGTTGACTCTCCTAATCCTACTTCGACACTCTGGGTGCAGTTGTATTATTTCGCAATTGAAGTTGCCATACAATACACTTTTTCGCTAAAGAGACTCGGTTCAGAATTGAATAAATTAAAGGTTTCTTTGATGTATAATTTATTATAATTCTATCAAAATGTATGTACACACAAATAAATCACG